AGGCAACATAGATCAGCAAGATTATGCACGTCAACATTTGAGGTAACAAGGCATTTAAAAATAACCGTGGTTTATTACTATTGCCGTGATATCACTGATTGCGTAAGCATTGCAATTTAGTTGAAAATAAATGGACTAGACCGGATATTTTTGCAGTGGTTTAATAAGAGATGATGATGGCAATACTGCAGCTGTTCCCAGGCAGTGACAGTCTTCACTGAATTTCTTCACTATTGCTTTTAAATAGAGAGCTATTTAAGGGTTTGCCATTTTAGGGCACTCGTTGGGTAAGGAACCTCACTGAAAAATTCACATACGCTTTGCTAATGTGGGAGACAGATGACAATCTTTTGGACCTGTGACTTAGAAGGGGGGGGGGAAGACAACTATCTTGAGTTCTTGCCTTGTTCTTGATGATTTGAAGCACAAAACCCCACGAATATTTAAGTGCACGGCTTGACAAAGGGATCAGCGGGAGCTGTAGTCCTGTCTCTGAGGCTTCTGCAAAGGCGAGCAGTACGCAATCGTTAAGCCTTAAATTGGCTTTTGGCGGACTCCGGCCCTAGAACAGTTTCGTCCTTCGTTTGCTAGATGTTTTCACCTCGCTGCCTTTAACCAGGGTCGGGAAAGGAAAGGACCGTCACCCTGTCGCTGCGCGCCGCTGCGTCCCCAGCTCGCCGGACCACCCCCACTCTCCTTCCTCGGGTCCCTCCCTCCGGCGCGCGGAGGCGGGGCCGCCCGGGAGCTGCCCGCTTCCAACATGGCGCCGCGGGGGGCGGGTCCAGCTCGTCGGCTCCCCGGGTTCCGGCAGCGCGCGTTTTGGTTCCGGAGTAACAGTTCGCTCGCCGCCGCCTTCCTCCTCCTCTCTCCGCCGCCGCTGCCGCCGCCACCGCCGCCACCAGGACGCGGGGCCTCGGGCGGCCCGGGCTGAGCCCTCGCGCATCGTGCCCTCTAGCTCCGGGTGGGGCTGAGGACTCGCCCGCGACGCTCTCGCGGAGGACCGCCTCGGCTTTCTCGCGGCCTGCGGCCCGGGACCTCCTTCCTAATAGCCCTGGACTGAGTCCCCTCCAGAAGGGGACCCTCCCCTCTTCCACTAAGGAGGGGTGGACACCTGCAGCCGTATCTCCCCCAAACCGGGCCCTTGCTCTGTCGTCTCCTCACACCCACACAGAAGGCAGAGAGCTTCACGATCCCGTTTGCCCTCTTTCCAACTCCAGAACCTTCCTAACTCCGCTAGTTCTTACTAATCCCTGCCTCCTCCCCGGTGCACCCTCACAAGGGAGACACCCTCACACCCCATACAGCCTGGGCCTGGCTCGCTGCCTGTGGGCCCCTTGCTGGTCACCTCTCCTCTCTTTCTACCCCCTCACCTTCCACTCGCCTGTTTTCATTCTCTGTCCTCTGCCCCTCACTGCTTGTCACCCCCTGGAGCCCCCACCTAACTAGGGTCCAGTGGGTACCGCCTGCACCAGGATGTGAGCCCTTTTAACCTGTAATGCTGTGGCTGGCCCTTGGCCCCTTCTATGCCATGGAGAACCAGGTGCTGGTGATTCGCATCAAGATTCCCAATAGTGGCGCGGTGGACTGGACAGTGCACTCCGGGCCTCAGTTACTCTTCAGGGATGTGCTGGTGAGTGGTAATCTCAATGTCCAAATCCAAGCGAGGGGGGCTCAGGGACTTGGGTTGTCAGCACCTAGACCATTGGTGGCCTGAGCTAGTGGTGGTGGCCATTGCTAGCCTCTTCTGGGGGCAGTTTTATTGCTTCAGCCACAGCACTGATTGCATCCACTGAAACCTGGCAAGTGTGTAACGACCTGGGGAAAGAGATAAATCAGACTGGACCCCTGCCCTCAGGGAGCTCACAGCCTGGACTGGGACGTACACACAGATGCAACCAACTGGGATACCAAAAGCTGAGTCCAGAAGAGTTTTTCTCAGGTGTTTTGGGGAATGTCCCTGGCTGGATTCCAGCCATGTCTTTCTACTGAGTTCTCTGAACTTGGTGACCATCCAGGAAAAGGAAACAAGGGCTCTTTAACTTACAATGTTTGTGCAAACCTAAGAAGTCATTGAGTGTAAGATATTATCTTACCTACCACTAAGAGAAAAAAAAGCTGCCCATTAGACTATGACACACAACATCCATTTTACAAAAACAACCCAATTTCAGAAATTTTAATAGAGGGAAAATGTGCATCATAGAATTGATGATGTATTACCTTCAGGATACTAAGAATATATTTCAAATAAAATTATGGAATGTTAGAGCAGAGTGTAACCTTGTAAGTGGCCTGTTCAGCCCATGTGTCTTTTTTGCAGGTAATTATTGAGGAGCAGTGAGGTGAAATGACCTACCTTTCCAAAGCTGTGTAGCTCCTGAATGGGAGTCTGTACCAGAACTCAAATTTCCTTACTTTTACTTAGCATTATTTTTTTTCCTCACATGCTGCAGCCCTGTCTCATCTTTCTGGTATTTATTTGAGATGACAGTTTGCATTATGCCCGTTTTATATGCTGAATAACTGAAGCACTGAAGGCAGAAACTGACATACCAAGAAGCACATTGCAACTAGTAGATCTATAGTGGAACTTACCTGCAAGATAAGAAGGGAAAGGTGGCAGGTTTTTGAGAGAAGGGATACTTATGATGTGATTTTTTAGTTGTCTTGAGTGACTGTATCAACATTTGATTCCTATAAGTTTATTTTGGATTCTGGATGTTACTGACCACCCGGGCCGTGCAGATTTTCAGATGCCTAGGCCAGGAGTACAGAGGCTGTAGTGAGGCCACAGCCTGCAATTTTGTGCACCAAACTCCATCCTTCTTTTTGCATCCAGAGTTCTCCACACACATGCGTGCACATAGATTTCCCTTCGTGATAAAGACCAAACCCCTTAGCATTGACCTCTGGGCCTATCTTGATTGGCTCTTGCCTGCCCGGTACCAACTTCATCTCGCCACATCCTATGGCCAGGTATATAGAATTACCTCCAGTACTCCCAGGTGCCCAGGCTGTCTGCACTCTGCCCTTTCCTTCAGCTGGTCAGCTCCCATTTGTCCTTCCAAGCCAAGCTTTGTTTCTCCTCTACATTAGTTTTGGTTATGTGGCCCACCTCTGTGTTCCCACAGCTTTGTGTGCATACTCCACCCAGCAAAGTACACCTGTTTGGTTATGATCATTTGCCCATTTCTTCCACTAGATGGTAAACTTCTGGAGGAGGTGGATATCCGTTCCCACTTTGTTTCTGTTGCTTCATAGGATCCCTGAAATATTTGCTTAATAAGGGAGCTTAAAATAGCATGCATTCAATTATGGTTCTGTGGACAGAGCACTAGGTTCTGAGTCAAGAAACTTGGGTTTAATTGCAAGCTGTCCCACTAACTAGGCAAGTCACTCTACTTCTCTGAGTCTCAGTTGCCTTATTTGTGAAACAGGGATACTGACAGCTGCCTCAAAGACTTGTGAAGATTAAGTGAGATTGTGTCTACAATGAAAAAGATGAGCTTTCTCTCACTTTACTCCTGTGAAACAATAGAAGGTATCATTTTAAGCAGAGTAGTACAGTGTTTGAGACCACAAACTCTGGAGCCAGACTGCCTGGGTTTAAATTGCCAGTCCTTTTGTTGCCAAATTAGGTTCTTGGGTGCTAAAGTCATAGAAGTGAACAATGCACCCAGCAGTAAAGCAAGCAGTGCTTTATTAAAAGAGGAGATAGACTTATGCACAAGGGAGGTAGCTATGGGGAAGCTAGCTCCCCAACCGAGGCTGTCCAGGATCCTTTATAGGGCAAGGAGATAAGGCATGCAGGCCAGCATCATCATTCTGCTCTCTGGAGGTGGTCCATTCTGTTCTTCCTGGTTGTGTCATGGGCACATTCTCAGTTAGTGCTTTGGTCCTTGCACCTGCTCGTTAGGTTCAAGATGGTGGTGTTGCTCACTATTGCCACCCCAGTAGGATTGTTGTAGCGGTCACTGCGAAGCTTTGTGCATATGCGTCACTGCGAAGCTTTGTGCATATGCGTGAAGCCCTAAAGGGGTCTTGAGATTAGTCTGTAACTTAATTTTTACAATTATGGGAAAAGAAGAATGGGTAGATAATAAGTTTTAAACAAAGCTAACAGTTGTATTTTAACGAGCTTTGGGGACGGTGTTTTGCAACTCAGTCAATATCTGTTCCTCTCTGATCTCAGTTTATTTTATCAGGGCAGGCCATGGGGTGATCATGTGCCTTGGGGGTCTCATGACTGAGGAGTGGAAAAGTAACAAAGTGTCCTCTGCAGGGAAAATGGAGTCAGTTTGGTTCACCCGCCTAGCCCTATTCTGTCTCAAAAAATCCAAGATACATCAGCATCTCTCTGGCTTGGAACCTTAAACTTCAAAGCCACCTGAAATCCTTCATCTAATATACCCCTTTCCGACACCCCCACCCCAGTTTTCAAATGAGGAGGCATGAATCTCAGAGGGAGAAAATGCCTTACTAAAGCCACACAGCTAGTTTTTGTCGGAACCTGACACAGAACCCAGAAGCAGGTTGTAGTCAGTCACTGAGTCAAGTGTAACCGAGTATCTCAGACCCGAAGTGAGTAGTTGAAGGCTCCAGTCACCACTTCATCAAATAATTGGGAGACCCTGGGCAAGCCACTCAGCCTCTCTGGGCCTTGTCTTTTGTCTGAATCACCAAGGACTGGCTACCGTCTAGAGGAGACCTACTTGTTCCTCAAGGGCAGAGACATTTGGGTTATCTGTTGTATCTGTTTTTCAGCTTTCTCTGTTTCTCTCTCCTGGAGCCCTTATAGAGAGTTCTATGAATGTGCAAGCCCAATCCTGGAGAACTCTTGTGGTCTCTTCTATGGATTCAACTCACAAAGAGAAGGTAAAAATCCAAGATACATCAGCATCTCTCTGGCTTGGAACCTTAAACTTTAAAGCCACCTGAAATCCTTCATCTAATATACCCCTTTCCGACACCCCCACCCCAGTTTTCANCCGCCGCCACCAGGACGCGGGGCCTCGGGCGGCCCGGGCTGAGCCCTCGCGCATCGTGCCCTCTAGCTCCGGGTGGGGCTGAGGACTCGCCCGCGACGCTCTCGCGGAGGACCGCCTCGGCTTTCTCGCGGCCTGCGGCCCGGGACCTCCTTCCTAATAGCCCTGGACTGAGTCCCCTCCAGAAGGGGACCCTCCCCTCTTCCACTAAGGAGGGGTGGACACCTGCAGCCGTATCTCCCCCAAACCGGGCCCTTGCTCTGTCGTCTCCTCACACCCACACAGAAGGCAGAGAGCTTCACGATCCCGTTTGCCCTCTTTCCAACTCCAGAACCTTCCTAACTCCGCTAGTTCTTACTAATCCCTGCCTCCTCCCCGGTGCACCCTCACAAGGGAGACACCCTCACACCCCATACAGCCTGGGCCTGGCTCGCTGCCTGTGGGCCCCTTGCTGGTCACCTCTCCTCTCTTTCTACCCCCTCACCTTCCACTCGCCTGTTTTCATTCTCTGTCCTCTGCCCCTCACTGCTTGTCACCCCCTGGAGCCCCCACCTAACTAGGGTCCAGTGGGTACCGCCTGCACCAGGATGTGAGCCCTTTTAACCTGTAATGCTGTGGCTGGCCCTTGGCCCCTTCTATGCCATGGAGAACCAGGTGCTGGTGATTCGCATCAAGATTCCCAATAGTGGCGCGGTGGACTGGACAGTGCACTCCGGGCCTCAGTTACTCTTCAGGGATGTGCTGGTGAGTGGTAATCTCAATGTCCAAATCCAAGCGAGGGGGGTTCAGGGACTTGGGTTGTCAGCACCTAGACCATTGGTGGCCTGAGCTAGTGGTGGTGGCCATTGCTAGCCTCTTCTGGGGGCAGTTTTATTGCTTCAGCCACAGCACTGATTGCATCCACTGAAACCTGGCAAGTGTGTAACGACCTGGGGAAAGAGATAAATCAGACTGGACCCCTGCCCTCAGGGAGCTCACAGCCTGGACTGGGACGTACACACAGATGCAACCAACTGGGATACCAAAAGCTGAGTCCAGAAGAGTTTTTCTCAGGTGTTTTGGGGAATGTCCCTGGCTGGATTCCAGCCATGTCTTTCTACTGAGTTCTCTGAACTTGGTGACCATCCAGGAAAAGGAAACAAGGGCTCTTTAACTTACAATGTTTGTGCAAACCTAAGAAGTCATTGAGTGTAAGATATTATCTTACCTACCACTAAGAGAAAAAAAAGCTGCCCATTAGACTATGACACACAACATCCATTTTACAAAAACAACCCAATTTCAGAAATTTTAATAGAGGGAAAATGTGCATCATAGAATTGATGATGTATTACCTTCAGGATACTAAGAATATATTTCAAATAAAATTATGGAATGTTAGAGCAGAGTGTAACCTTGTAAGTGGCCTGTTCAGCCCATGTGTCTTTTTTGCAGGTAATTATTGAGGAGCAGTGAGGTGAAATGACCTACCTTTCCAAAGCTGTGTAGCTCCTGAATGGGAGTCTGTACCAGAACTCAAATTTCCTTACTTTTACTTAGCATTATTTTTTTTCCTCACATGCTGCAGCCCTGTCTCATCTTTCTGGTATTTATTTGAGATGACAGTTTGCATTATGCCCGTTTTATATGCTGAATAACTGAAGCACTGAAGGCAGAAACTGACATACCAAGAAGCACATTGCAACTAGTAGATCTATAGTGGAACTTACCTGCAAGATAAGAAGGGAAAGGTGGCAGGTTTTTGAGAGAAGGGATACTTATGATGTGATTTTTTAGTTGTCTTGAGTGACTGTATCAACATTTGATTCCTATAAGTTTATTTTGGATTCTGGATGTTACTGACCACCCGGGCCGTGCAGATTTTCAGATGCCTAGGCCAGGAGTACAGAGGCTGTAGTGAGGCCACAGCCTGCAATTTTGTGCACCAAACTCCATCCTTCTTTTTGCATCCAGAGTTCTCCACACACATGCGTGCACATAGATTTCCCTTCGTGATAAAGACCAAACCCCTTAGCATTGACCTCTGGGCCTATCTTGATTGGCTCTTGCCTGCCCGGTACCAACTTCATCTCGCCACATCCTATGGCCAGGTATATAGAATTACCTCCAGTACTCCCAGGTGCCCAGGCTGTCTGCACTCTGCCCTTTCCTTCAGCTGGTCAGCTCCCATTTGTCCTTCCAAGCCAAGCTTTGTTTCTCCTCTACATTAGTTTTGGTTATGTGGCCCACCTCTGTGTTCCCACAGCTTTGTGTGCATACTCCACCCAGCAAAGTACACCTGTTTGGTTATGATCATTTGCCCATTTCTTCCACTAGATGGTAAACTTCTGGAGGAGGTGGATATCCGTTCCCACTTTGTTTCTGTTGCTTCATAGGATCCCTGAAATATTTGCTTAATAAGGGAGCTTAAAATAGCATGCATTCAATTATGGTTCTGTGGACAGAGCACTAGGTTCTGAGTCAAGAAACTTGGGTTTAATTGCAAGCTGTCCCACTAACTAGGCAAGTCACTCTACTTCTCTGAGTCTCAGTTGCCTTATTTGTGAAACAGGGATACTGACAGCTGCCTCAAAGACTTGTGAAGATTAAGTGAGATTGTGTCTACAATGAAAAAGATGAGCTTTCTCTCACTTTACTCCTGTGAAACAATAGAAGGTATCATTTTAAGCAGAGTAGTACAGTGTTTGAGACCACAAACTCTGGAGCCAGACTGCCTGGGTTTAAATTGCCAGTCCTTTTGTTGCCAAATTAGGTTCTTGGGTGCTAAAGTCATAGAAGTGAACAATGCACCCAGCAGTAAAGCAAGCAGTGCTTTATTAAAAGAGGAGATAGACTTATGCACAAGGGAGGTAGCTATGGGGAAGCTAGCTCCCCAACCGAGGCTGTCCAGGATCCTTTATAGGGCAAGGAGATAAGGCATGCAGGCCAGCATCATCATTCTGCTCTCTGGAGGTGGTCCATTCTGTTCTTCCTGGTTGTGTCATGGGCACATTCTCAGTTAGTGCTTTGGTCCTTGCACCTGCTCGTTAGGTTCAAGATGGTGGTGTTGCTCACTATTGCCACCCCAGTAGGATTGTTGTAGCGGTCACTGCGAAGCTTTGTGCATATGCGTCACTGCGAAGCTTTGTGCATATGCGTGAAGCCCTAAAGGGGTCTTGAGATTAGTCTGTAACTTAATTTTTACAATTATGGGAAAAGAAGAATGGGTAGATAATAAGTTTTAAACAAAGCTAACAGTTGTATTTTAACGAGCTTTGGGGACGGTGTTTTGCAACTCAGTCAATATCTGTTCCTCTCTGATCTCAGTTTATTTTATCAGGGCAGGCCATGGGGTGATCATGTGCCTTGGGGGTCTCATGACTGAGGAGTGGAAAAGTAACAAAGTGTCCTCTGCAGGGAAAATGGAGTCAGTTTGGTTCACCCGCCTAGCCCTATTCTGTCTCACTATCACTTGGACAAGTATCTTCTATATCTCAGTTTCTTTATGTGTTTAAAAAAAAAAAAAGTGGAGATGGGCGGGAATAAAAATAGTGCCTACCTCATAGAATTCTGAGGACTACTTGAGCTGATACATGTAAAGCACTTGGAACAATCTATAATTGTTGTTATTATTGTTAGTGTTGTTATTATAACATAAAGGATAGAGCCTTGGTCTTCTGCTTTTTAAGCATCTCTAAGTTGTACCTGGCTCAAAGCTGACTGGCCTAAAAGTAAACATTGCACAAATGGCCCCACCACTAGAGTTCAGTGTGCCATCTATCTACACACTTTTGTTCAGGTTAGCCCGGGTGGAGTATGTTTTATCAGGAAGGCCTGATAAAAGATTCGTGGCAATGGGTGCTTTGCTGTCTCCTAGTGCTCCCTTATAGAGAGTTCTATGAATGTGCAAGCCCAATCCTGGAGAACTCTTGTGGTCTCTTCTCTGGATTCAACTCACAAAGAGAAGGCAAAAATCCAAGATACATCAGCATCTCTCTGGCTTGGAACCTTAAACTTCAAAGCCACCTGAAATCCTTCATCTAATATACCCCTTTCCGACACCCCCACCCCAGTTTTCA